GTGCTATTCCACAGCCTGGTAACAGGAGGCAGGATGTTAATTCTATTAGACGGGCTGGGTTTAAGGGTCTTGTTCAACGCTGTGTCATGGATAATTGTAAATTGCGTCCTAAAATGTCTGACATTATAAATGAACTGACTCAAAGTGTCAGTTAACTTTTTGCTGCTATTTTCTTTTTAGTGTTGCGTTAAATTTCTTTCTAATTTTTTGACTTTGGTAAATTTTTGTAGTTACTATTTTTTTTTATTCCATTTTTTATAGTTACAGACTTACAATAAATTAGATCTAGTAGGCGTGGCTACTTAATTATTTAAGCCACACCCTTTTGTAATTAACCCTTTAATAACTACAATTTTGAAGGATCATTCTTTCTCGCCTCGTTTCGACGAGTGAAGCTATGGCGAAGGAGACTGGGCGATCCTTTGGTAACTGCATCAGTCCAGAGGCCGCGAGGTATCCTAAATTTATCCTTCTACACGTAACACGTACATGTACACACATTTTACATGTACATGTACATAATTCTCACCTTTTCCTCCTCCTCCCTCCAGCTCTTCCAGTTCATTAAAGAACGTTCTAGGATATCTTCAAGACTACATACCACAAGTAAAAATGATCATTATAACTTTGTAACTACATGTACATTTAATTATGGAGTATTATAATCAAATATCATCATTATTTATTTTTATTTTATTATTATTATTTTTAGAGTTATGCATCAACCGCCCCCACATCAGGCAGTAACCTACACAGAGAGATTGTGCATTGGGCTCGGTTTGAGACTGAAGGTTAATAATAGTACTTGTTACTAATAGCTCATGCAATGACTTTATACTTGTTACTATTATTAGAACACATTAATGGGTTTATGAGTGAAGAATCGGCTCAGTCCTCACAGCCGCTGGTTTTATTGACCGGACTCTCCTCAGGGATTGTGTTATGGATGATAACAGTTAGTTTAATTGAGAGTGTTTTATAATAATTGTTTACTCTCTCCTTCCTCTCTCCCTCCTCTCTGTCTCTCTGTCTCTGTCTCTGTCTCTCTCTCTCTCTCTCTGTCTCTGTCTCTGTCTCTCTCTGTCTCTCTGTCTCTCTGTCTCTCTCTGTCTCTCTCTGTCTCTCTCTCTCTCTCTCTCTCTCCCTCTTTCTCCAGCCTAATGGAGATGCTAAAGAGGTTTATTCAACACTTCAAGATGGAGAGGGACCAGCTAAACTGGCTACTCTCCTCAAATCTCCTCCTCCTGGTCAAGATGAGTTCAGTTCCAGTCGGCCATTACTAGCTGTAGTTAGGAAGGGAAGGTAGGGAGTGATGTAATGTGACATCATCAAATTGGCTGATGCAATATTTCTGTAGTAGCATTAGGTGAATGTACATGTACATGTATTAACGTATTATTTTCTGGCAGTAGTTTCAAAGCTTTACATAAACTTACACACAAATACTGTATCTTATGGAGCTTCACTTGTCAATGAAAGGGAGGGATTTGAAATGGATACACAGCTGCTTTTATTAATAAGAGCAATAATGTATTTTTAATATCTTCATTTGTTGCCAATTAAACAATAAATAATTTGATATTATAATCTTTTATTTTATTCCTCCAGTGGTATGCAGAAGCATCTCCATTCTACAGCTGTTGTGATCTCCCTGAGAGGAGGAGGGAGGGAAGTGAAGAAATTTGAATTTGAGAAGAATTCAATACTAGACATCAGCTCAAACAAACGGTTGGTATTTAATGAAGTTAAGTATTTGTATCTTTTCTTTCTTGTTC